ACAAATCAAGAAAAGGATCTGGACATGGAACAGCTGTGACAAGAAATCCTGGACAATGCCTGTTTATGGGATTTACAACGTAGGCTGGTGAAAGTTTTGAAGACCCCTCTTGAGTGCCAAAGATTGATGAAAGACCAAATCCTTCGATGTTATTGGAATGATTTAAAGGTTAAGATTGTGAAGAGCAAAAAGAAGGAATATAAAGTTGGACTATTTGATCAGGGATATATTATTTGTTTGATATTTCTGATAACTCCTAATCGACTTTTTGCTGAACCAGACTAAAAAGATAACAATTTCTGGATTGCATATAGATAAAAATTAGGCTATGGGGAGAAGAGTTTTTTCATTTGTAACTTTAAAAGAGGATGAAAAGTCATATTAGCTTATGCTCCATGTGATGAAGGTTGGAAGCCACTTTTATTGTTGTTCTATTGTTATTTTCTTTGTTGCCATTTTCTTTTCTACTTTTTTCTTTTTCTTTTCCTTTTTTCTTTTTTCTACACCTTCTGAATGTTTATTTTTTTCCTTCTAGTTTAGTTTGTATTAGTTTGTATTATGTTTATTAAAAACTTCAATAAAATTATTTTTTAAAAGTATGCTTATATGTGATGTGGGAATGACCTTGGGAGACAGGAGGAAGATCCACGGCTTAGGTAACGGTCTGATAAGAGGCAGCTCAGTCTGCAGGTGGGGGAAAAGCACGGGAAGCATTTCAGAAGGGACCGTCCCTAGTTTTCCGGAGACTAAAAAGAGAGGAGGGGAGAAATACTTTCAGCCTTGCAAGATTCTGTTCAATGTGACCTTTCAATAAAGATAATGCTGATGCTCCTGGTTGTGCTTTTTGTCTGGACTACCTTGAAGGGCTTGATTGATTGATTGGTTGATTGATTGATTGATTGATTGATTTTTAAATTTATATGCCGCCCATCTCCCCCAGAGATGTATATGTTTCTTTAAAACCTGGAACCATTACTTTTTTTGAGATTGGATATTCTAATAGCAACAGTTGTACATGTTGAAAATAGAGGAAGGGATGCGACCCTTGTTTTGAGGACCCAGCCACAGCATTGTTCCTGCAACAAGGAAGTCTAGCACACATGGGGAGATTCTGAACATAGGAGACACTCAAAATATCCCTATGGCAATAGTAACAAAAGAGATACAACCCATTATAAAGTGCCAAACATTCTGTTTGCTAGTGATTCCCACCGAAGCTGTTCTGCGCCCCTTCTTCATCCCAGGCACGAAAGGATCGCATGGTTCTCTCTCTTAGGGAGGGGAGAAGATGGAAAGAACAAGTGAGGATTTTTTGGTTTCCTAGCTTCAGAGCTCCTTCTGTCTATCCCCAGAAAATACAACCCAAATATAAATGGGTCTAATCAAAGACCCAACAGGCCATGATGTAGCCAGAAGAAGTGTTCAAAACTAATGCAAGCTAAAAACATATGAAAAACAAGCAAGCAAAAGCAAACATTTTTCATAATGGCGAAAGGTGGGTTGGAAACTTCACCTTGTTTCCCATTTCTAAGAACATTTTGGCTAAACAAGTTCTCCTATGTTGGAATTATGTAGTGCAGAGCCTCAGTAATCAGCACAAGGAAGGAAATAACACATTTTTTGTTTGTTCATGAGGTACTACAGGAGAAATTGTTGCTGTTCACTAATTGTGTACAATCCAGTGCTCATGATTCTTCTAAATTTCATTCTACACAGTAATTAAATAAGCAATAAATGCACCATCTTGGGGAATGTATTACATTTTCACTGGTATTAAGTGTCATGCTGTTGAAAGTGCAAATCTCCCCATTAGAAAAGAACAACCTATATGTTAATATTCTACAATAAATGAGAAAAAAAATGTCATACCAAAACAGATTGTATCAAAGGCTTCTTAGACCCCATTTTCCCACAGCAATGTTTAAATCAGAGGGCTGGGATTATGTTACTAATCACAATTCTCAAAGCTCTATAGAAGATATATTTTAAAGCACTTTAAATGCATTTTATGCATCTTCTTCACCACAAAGTGGGTTCATCCTTATTATCACCGTATCATGGAGAAATGACATTTTTTTTCAAAGCATCTCTATCGTTTGAACTCAGAACTCAGAGATCCAGGTCTTCATTTCAAGGGCTTACTAAAACCAAAGAGCTCTCCCTGGATATACAGTGTCATGGCTTGGTGCCCCCTTTAAATCTAAACTGAAACATTTCTTTGATTTAAAGAAGATATGAGCTTTAAAAGCCTCTGAGATTCTTCTCCTGCTCTGAAAAAGCCCAAATCAGAGAATAATTTCCAGTTAACGTGCTCACTTTCCAATACCTCTCCCCACTCCACTCCCTAGGGCCCTGATCCTCAGATGTCGAAGTTATTGAAACCCACTTCAAAAAAAAAAAAAAATTAGTCCAACTCAACAAAAGGGTACATTTGATAAGCTTCAGCAGGTGGCAACATTAAGCAGGTTGGAGCCTGATTAATATTATATTATAATCTGCCCAGATTATTTTGGGAATCAATTGGTCTCAAAATAGAATAAATAAATTAATTGTTCTCAGAGGAAAAGACCATCAGGGGATACCAGGAATGATAGCTAGGCTGGGAAGTAAACAACATCAACAACAGTATCCTGGAACAGAGTAATGGTAAAGCACTTCCATAGGGTTGCCAAAAACATTGCATTATATCCAGGAGTAAAACTTGTCTCAAGGTCATCATTAACTTTTACATTTTACAATCCCTTAATAATACTCAAGATCCAGTCGACATCAGGATCTTTTGTAATTATTCTTGTGCAGATGGTCAGATTAACGTAACATGTAGTGTAATCATCACATGGATACAGAAAGTAAGCCAAGCTATTTTGGACTTCAGAAAATTAGTTGTACTTATTTCTCAGCCAGTTCAATTTGGAAAATTCAGTTTGTGTCATAAAATTGAAAAAAGTGAATTAGCTGTTCAAGCCTATGATATATTGAGCCACACTAGTTGCCATTGTTTATTATTTATTAGCATTATTTTTTTGCTACAGTTTTATCCCACCTTTTTTTCGGGGAGTTCAAGGTAACATAAAAGCTCTGGGTTAGGGAAGTACATGACCCAAAGTCACCCAAGAAGTTTCTGTCATGGAAGGTGGGCTTGAATTTGGGTCTCCCCAGTTCAAAATTTTCTTATGACATGACATTGGCTTTCTGTATGATGTCAGCTGATTACTCTCTGCTTCTGTCTGTGTTTGGAAACATTCTGTCAAGAGCCTAAATTATTATTTAAAAGCACAAATCTATAGCACAGATGCATTTCTGAAAGATTGAATGTAAATTCATTTTTCTTCCCCAGGTTGAAGCAATTTTAGTAAACATATTTGGTGGAATTGTCAATTGTGCCATTATTGCCAATGGTATCACCAAAGCTTGTCGAGAGCTTGAATTGAAAGTGCCTCTAGTGGTCCGACTTGAAGGTAGGTAGTGGATTTCAAACTTTGTTGTGTGTCTTTATTTCATTTGATTTATTCTCTGATGGTTGTATGAGCTAATTTTCTAGTTCATGTGAAACTAAAATGAGATGGTTGTTTCAGGGTAGCAAATGCTGGAAGATGTGGAGCAGAGAGCACCCCACTTGCCATCCTTCTTGGCTAGAGAAGATGTAGGTGTTCCATGCTGGCTGGACTGTAGCCTAAAATTACTGCCCTCAGATGTGGTGAAAGATGTCACTTGTTTTGAAGTCCCATTCAGCTGCCATTCTATCAGCCTTTAGAAATGGTATGGACAGAATGTGGAATTAGCTATAGTCTTTTTCTTTGGCAGCAAACTGTGTTAAGTCAACCTCAATAAAAATGTGAATGTTTCAGTCACCCACACACGATTCACTGTTGCAGCATTTCAGCTCATTCATATCTTCTTGTAGCTTTAAGCCAGCCTTCTCCAACCTGATGCCCTTCAGGCATATTGGGCATATTAGGATTGCAACTCCTAGAATCCCTAGCCCATGGCCAACTGGAAGTTACCAAGTTATGGTAAGATGCTTTAATCCTACCAGGTTCCAGGTCCAGAGAGAATCAGACCACATACAAAGCACCAGGTCTGACCTCTGAATCAAATCTTGTGGTTTTTGCAACATAATCCTTACAGAAATGATCTTCTTTACTCTTTGCTGCTGTGACATACTGTTTTAGAATCTAGGATGAAGCCACCTGCCAACAAGCTTCATAAACGTTAGCCAAGATACTACTGATTATGATTCTACTCTTCCTTGTAAAAAATCCACATTTCTATTTTATTTCTATAATCTCTGGTTTTCCATACTAGTTTCTTAATTAAATAAATCTCTTGTGTGATTAGAGATAAAAAAATAATAATAATTAATAAGGTAAGTTTTTTAATGGTGAGAACGCCAAGATACTATAAAATGAAACTGAAAGAATACAGCATGCAGGAACCAGTGCTCTTTGATGCATTTCTACAACAGAAGGTTCCTAATTATTCCTATAAATCTTTAGCAGATTTGTGGCTGGACTTTAAAAAGATTCTTTGCTCTCATGCAGCAGTATATTGCAGATGTCTTGATGAGTAAAGTTTTAATCAGTCAACTCTGTCTTGATTTAGCAGGATTTTCTGGACAAATCTTTGTTCTCAGATGTGTAATAATTACAAGCTGTTTTACCAGTGGATAAAGAAAGGATTAGTCTCTCGTTCAAAAATAGTAACTTTATACGTACAGGTATTTACTTGCTTGATATAAAAGAAAGAAAGAATGAGTGCCCACCAGCTGAGAAGTATAATTATTTTTTTTTTTAAGTGCCCAAAGTGATTAGAAAATCGTGTACTCTAAATTTAACTGATGAAGTAATCATTCCTGCTGGGCAAGTGCACCTCCTCTGTTTCAAAAGATTTTTGTAACTAATTGTTGAAAGGGCTGGATTAAATTCAGGTAATTACTGGCTACACAAACTATAGAAAGATTTTTTCCCCCTACACACAGACATACTCATGGAGGTTAATCTATCTATCATATCTCTGGCTGCTTCAAGAGCTATGTAATAGGAATTTACATCCATATTCTTGGATGCATGGTTGCAAGCACACAAATATGAGCACAATTGAAATAAAATTCCATAGTTTATTTTAGTGGAAAGAGCAGTCCCCTTTTGCAAATTCTATTCATGCATGCATTGGTGACCTTTTAAATACAGCAGGTAACTTTATGAGAATTCAGCCACTTCAGGCAGCAGCAGTGAAGATACAGTAATATTGTGGAGTCCTTCATGGTCTCTGAGCTTGGTTGTTTGCTTGCAGACGTTTCATTACCTGACTAGGTAATATCATCAGCACCAGTGAGGATGGGGTTTGTTCCCTGTTTATATACAGTAGCTTGCCTGGCCAATGTTGGTGGGAGTGTGGTTTCTCCTTTATAGTTTCTTGATTAGGCTATTGTTTTCTGCTTGATTGTTTGTCTGGTGTTAATCCCTGCTTAATCTGGATGTTGGTTGCTGGAGAGGATGTGTTCTGGTCTTTTTGTTTTCTTCCTAGCTTTTTTATTGTCTCTTTTGGATGGTGTGTAAATGTGAACATCAACTAGCCTTCAGAAGACATGATGGAAACTCCTTAATCTCACAACACACAGACAGACTCAACCATAGTTTCAGCTGGGAAACTCTGAGCATCCTAGACCAAGCTAAATCTAAAAATGCAAGGGAATTCCTGGAAGCTTGGCACTCAGACAAATCAGCCATCAATAGATACATAGAGATAAACCACATTTAGATGATGTAGATGTAGATGTAGAAAATTTGCAATCTTGCAAGCCTTCGGGGACCTGGAAACAAATGCCTGATTTAATGAACAGGAAAGTCAAAGAGCTATGCACAGTGTTAGGGTTTCTACACACACACACACACACACACACACACACACATACACACACAGAGCAAGTTTCTCTTTCTTTAGGTATTTTGATTAATGGTTAGAGGAGTGTCCAAAGAGGGAACATGACACTATAAGATTGCGCTAGTCCATCTCCATTTATGTTGCAGCTCCCACGGATTGGTTTAACATATAATAAAATATATTGATTTGTAAGTTGTGTCTAGTCTTTCCTGCGAATTATACTACAAAATAATTAAAACATGATTTGGAGAAAATACATCCAGCAAAGTACACTCGAGAGCATGAACCCAGCCACATACAAATATGTTTTCTTTATCCTTAATCTTCTGTTGCAAGTATAACATTCAGTCTTGCGTTCGAAAAATAATAAGGAAACCAAATCCTGAGCATTTTTTTTTTCAGTCCTTCAATGACCTGAATTGGTTTGGGATCCAGCTGTGACACAGTTAGTAAAATGTTTTGTCTGATTACCCCGTGTATTACAGTTCACATTTGAGGGAAATCTTGATTATAGAGAGAGACCGTGCAAATCTCTCTTCCATGTTTTCTATCTGTTTAACAGCTTAATTCAGTGCAAGCAAAGTGCAGATTGTTTTGATTGCTTAGGACTGGAACTCTGTTTACAGGTCTCTAACACCATCCAGTGGCAGAAGGTTAATGTTGGTTTAGTTCAGTAAAAGAAAGTTTTGTGTTTTTAAACCTCAGTCAGGGAAAAAAAAAATAGCTCCTATTTCTTAGACTTCCTGTATTAAATACTTTGCAACCTTTTTAAAGATTTCTGGCACTATCTTCAAATATCAAAGGAAGCCCAGTTTTTCAAAATCACAGCTTTTGATGATGGGAAACAGATTCCAAATAATTATCATTCATAGATCATCTTTTTAGAAAATGCTTAACATTTTTGATAGCTTTAAAATTCTGTTTTAACAAATGCAAATGTACATACTTTGCTTCCTTTTATTTCAGAAATAACTTTTAATTTTTATTTATTTATAAAGATATTATTTAAAAAGATACAGTTGATATTATTGAACTACTCATTCCTGTTCATGATGCTCATGAAACTACATTGATGTCAGTCTTTTTCCTTTCTTTCCCCTCTTTTGTATAGAATCTTTTTATTCTATGCAATGAATTTTATTTACCTTTATTCCTTTGGTGAACTTGTTTTACAGAAATACTGGTAACTATTGTGAAAGTATTTCCTATAATAAAAATAATTGTAATAAAAATAGATTGGCTGGAACCTACAGCTGTTCTTGGGAAACTTGTCTCCTTGGTTTTTTCACCATTTTTGAATGCCACTATAGAAATCTAAAAGCAGCTATATCTACCTTGAATCCTAATTCTAATAGTTTGCACTATCAGGGCCCCTTGTAACACGTGTGTAATATTGTGCCTACCTATGAATATGTTCTTTAAACATTTTTTAAACACAGGTTAGAACACTGATAATGGTTTCCTTCCTTCCTTCCTTCCTTCCTTCCTTTCTCAGACCAGTTGCCCAAGCAACAAACAGGTCTGTGGATTTCAGCTGATTTTCTTCTGATTTCCAGTGTTTCTTGTGAATAGAACATTGATAAGGGGATACCAAAAACAGGAAAAGGGAACAAGAAATGTTTCTTTTGACATTTACAGAGAGCTTGACACATCCACCAAACTGAAGCAATCTTGATGCCCGTTGGAAATATTAACTGGCTCAGCATATTGTCTTTTTAACAAATCACCTGCGAAACAACTTGATTACATTTGATCATCGCATTCTGTGAAAATGACTTGGGGTATTGATGAGAGCACACAATCATTTTTAGAATGACTCACATTCTTGTGTTCCCATTTAGAATTATCTCCAATTAAAAAGCTGAAGCAGCACAAATTATTAAATATTGAGATAAGGTTCATTGTTTTCTAGCAGCAAAAGAAAAAGGAATTGTGTCAAAACTGTGTTTGTCTTTGTGAAGTTGCCTTGAGCCTCTAGTATGTATACAGAAATAGAACAGTAGCTATTAGCACTGAGGAGCACTAGAGTTTGTTAGCTGTTTGTTTGTTTTGGAAACTACAGTCAGTACAAAAAATCTAGTTCTCCAACTAAGTTATTGACCATATTTTTCTTCATACTTCACATGTGTACTTTGAGCATAAACACACACACACACATATAGATCACTCCCTAGAATGCCAGTTTATCATACCAAAGTTAACACCTTTAAAATGTAATATTGGAACTGATGTAATAAACATGGAAACAGATTCATCTTCCTTAATTTTGATATAATGATCCCGCTGTACTGGACATTGTTTCTTGGTCTTATGTCCCACCCAAATGGCTTTCCAAGAGCTCTCTCACCTTTTTCATGAGCTTATATGGTGCGTAGGGTTTGCAAAAGGTTTTATTGCCATGTAAAGTGGCACAAATACAACGGTACGGTTTAGAAAAGAAGCAGAAGCCAAATTTATCCCAGGGCAGAATTAGAAGGGGATAAACAACAATTATACCATAAGTGGCCTTCATCACATAATTTACATACTTTGGTATCTTTCCAGTTAGCAATAGCATTTTTTTTTCTGGGTATCTACAAATGTCACGTCACCCACTCTACTGAAAGTGATTTTATCTCCTCACCATGCTTCTTGCTCTGAAAGCGTCTCATTTTTCATCCACCTTCATGGGGGAAAAGAAGAGAATTCAAACGGTGTCTCTCTTAGCATACACAAAACTTTTCTCCATATGTTTCTTTGGGTTTAAAAATATCTTTCAAAGCAATTTTATTTGAGTAGGTTTCAGAACTCTAGAGAATCATGTATATTATATCAGTATGTATAAAGCTTTATTGAAACAATATTTTCTCCTATTAAACAAGCAAGCTAATAACTGAGATACTCACATTCATAGAGAAAAGCAATATGTATCTGCATATAGATAGGATGGATATACCAATGGACAGACAGATATATTTAAAATTAATGCAGTTACAAATACTGCCTGATGCATTAAACCAAAGCATTTCTTCTGACCTCCTTCTCTTCCTTTTGCATCACAGTTCAGAGATAAAAATATAGTAAAATGAAGATCATAACTATTGAGCATCTACAGTTAATATATGTTGCTCATCAAAACTCAAGTGCTAAAAGAGACCAGTGAGGATTGAAATTTCAATCTTAAGGCCTATGTGCAATTACTGTGAAATAAAATCACAAGTTAGAGTCAGTGTAATATTCTGGTTGAGAGGCTGAGCTGTGAATCAGGAAGATGGTGATTTAAGTGTTGCCAGTGCTGCAGAGTCATAAGTTGGCTCCCTTTCTTTTTCTCAACTGCACACCCACACACACACACACACAAAACACACATGCAATCCTTTCTAGGGATATGGAGACAATAGTGGCTTCTTTTTAAAATGGTTGCAGGAATACTGACCAAGCAGTCTATTCACAAAACACTATGCAAGGTAACAGATACCTTGTACACTAGGTAATACTTAACTTGATTAATCATGCTTCATGAATGTCAACTGAGAGGTTGTGAAGGCTTTTAATTAGCATTACAACTCTTCAAATGCATATGATGCTTGTTGCAGTTCCAAGTTACCTGCCATTTTGATTTATAAGGAAAATCTTTCTATTTGTCAGGCAGCATGGAAGACCTTCTGGATGATTTTGTTAAACATTTTAACACTTCAGGAAGGCAGGATGAGGCCTTTTTCCCGTTAAAGTCACAATACATGTGTGAATATTTCACTCAGGGGCTGAGATTTCTACCCTTGGGAGAAGATTTTAATAGTATGGTGGATCCTCCTTATCGACATTCATTGTTCCTGGTTAAACCTGCCAGAGTGTGGTGAGAGGAGATGATCTTGAATGTTGACATCCATTGGTTATGCACATTATACTTCCTGCTACCAAGGGAAAGATGCCATTAGTGTCACAAAGTGCCCAGATCAGCATCAAAACAGAGAGGAGGCTTCTGGGGAGGAACTAAATGTGTGTGAGGGCTCTGTCAGAACATTTCAACTGGGCCTGTCTTTTTTCAGCATTAATGAACAAAGAGCTACAGGATGTGAGCAGCGATCAGTCATCTTTTTTAATTAATCTCCTCTCATTTAGCAATTCATGTGCCTTGTATAGGAGCTTGACAGAGTGTAACACATACATCCCTGAAATGTCTCTCTTAATTTATGACTTCTTGCTTTCTTCCTTTCTTTCCTTGCAGGCTACAAGTCTTCTGTTGACTGAACGTGACGTACGTGTCCGCTTCTAGATCTCTGACAGTACAGTCCTATGCATATTTATTCAGAACTAAGTCCCACTTTGTTTAAAGACAGAAAAAGAGGTTTACACTCAGGTAAACATGCATAAGACTGTAGTGTAAAACTCAAAAAGCTTTTGTCTTTTTCCCCCTAAGGGAAATATACTGCCCTGCAACAGAATTTACAGTCTGAATAAACTCTTGCTTATCCTGTCTTGGCCAATTCAGGAGATATCTTGGGCATCTGGGTAAGCCTCTTGCTCAGGGTTGGAGTTCATGCTTGACATGCCAAAGAATCCTGGTATAGAAGGAACTGCCTTGTAGCAAATCACCGCACTGGCTTCTCTGGTTTTATTCTGGAAAGTTCTTTCTCAGCATCAGCCCTGGCAGTAGAGAGACTAAGACAACTGCCTCTGGCAACAGGGGCTAAGAGTGGCTTCAGGAGCCCCTTTCTATTCTCAGTTGAGGATAGAACTGTGTATATAGTACAGCTTGTTCTTTACCTTTTAAATAGATGCGTACTATCAGGTTTGGAGAAGGAGAGTGTCCCACCACCAGTGTTGACAGGAAAATTAGATGTTTACTGTGGCATGTGGAATTGGGATGAAGTAGTATCATCTTATTTGTTCATTTCCTGACAGCAAATGTTTCTGGGGACAGCCTTGGCCTTTCCCAGCCTTATCTGGAGATGAGGACTTTCTGCACGGAAAGCAAATATTCTGTGATGGAGAAACTACCCATCTCTAGCAGTAGACCTAGCAGAGATTTTTGCCATTGAGAACAGATAGCTGGATAGATGTAAAACATTTGCTTATATTCACATTGTAAGAACACTCCAAAGCCTGTACATGTTTATGTAATGTATATTTTTGTTTTCTGGTTGTTAGTTTTCTTTTTTATTCTGATAAATGGACACAAAAATATAGCATGGTAGGCTATTTATAATCTATACCAGAGTAATTTTTATTATTTTGTATTATAGAAAAAATATTGATCTGCATCTTACATCTTTGCTAATATTTCTTGCCTGATACTGTGCTGTGTGATTTATTATGTTGAAACATTTCATGAAGAGCTATTTATCTGTTAATATCCAGTTAAAGTAAGTAAAATTATTCAGTATTAAGTTAGCCAAATAGTTGTCATTGCCTTCTTCAGTCTTCTGGATCTATATGAGATCAATACTGTATTTTGCTGTGGCTATCCCTCTACCTAGCAGATTCAGTTTGATTCAGTTGCCTACCAGATTCAGTGTTCAACTTAAACAGAGGAAGAGGAGTTACAAAAGAAGAACCTAGAAGTCTACTTTAATGGTGTAGGGTCAGAGACCAAAAGAACCTACAAGTTTCATACCACTGGAAATGGTTTCAATATTATTATATCTTTTTTTACGGCGCCACCATATGAAATGTGCCTGATCAACAAGTGTTCAACATTTGATGTCATGTTCCCCTTATGGACTTTCAAAAACTGTAAGGAAATAGGTTAACTTTTTTCCACCTCTTTCCCCTCAGGAACAAATGTTCACGAAGCCCAGCGCATTCTGAATGAAAGTGGACTCCCCATCACTTCTGCAAGTGACCTTGAAGATGCTGCTAAGAAAGCAGTGGCTAGTGTGACAAAGAAATAAAGAGAACTGATACTAGAGATGACATTCCAGAACTGCCATCAAAGACATATTGAGAATTATTTTAACCAGCCAGAATTATTTTAACCAGCCATGAGCACTGAGGTTTGGCTTAACTGACCTGTTAATGACAAACTGTAAAATATTCAGTGTGTGAAAAGCAAACTTGGAACAACATTTATTATACAGAGCCTTTATTTTTCATTATTGGGACTGGATATCCTACAAGCGAGTGTGATGAGTAACCACTGTCAGTTGCCATTTAGGTTTCTCTTTTTATGTGTTAATTGCTTGTGACTCCCAATTTTTCTAAGATACTTTGATGCATCCTTAATATGTAGAAGGATAATTGATCATAGTTGGCCCTTTGTTGGGGATTGTTATCAAGATCTAAGGAACTACAAGGGTGATTCTATATATTTCATATATAGAATGAAAGGGAGATGCCCTTTCCCATATCATATGGAGAACTTCCAAAATAGGGATATGATGTGGCATGGAGACCTGTTATTTGAAATATAAACAGTCATAAAGTCTAATTGGGGCATGCCAGAAATCTCCAGTGTGTCTACAGTAGCTCTCTGAATCCCAATAAATATTTAAAGTTTTCTAATTAGGGCTAGAGTATCTTTATATTATGTAATTTGAAATAAATGAATGCCAATTAGATTTTTACCACCACCATTTCAAATATATTATAAAATGCAATGATTGATATCCAACGTATGGCTCATATCAGAAGAACATTCAAAGTTGTGGTTGTGTGAAAGAGCCATTTTTATATTGTCCTATGAGTTCTCATGTGAATGTTTTAAATACTAATGCAGAAATACACATCCTAATGTCATATTTGGCAGTATCTGTGAACATATGCATCCAGTTAATATTCACTGTCTTTAGAAATCAATATGTATAGTAGCTAAAAACAGTATCTTGAAGAAATTTAGGGTGGTGATTCCTTAAGGTATTTATGCTGTGATCCTAATGTTATTAATCAGAATTAATAATAATAAAAACTATCAGGGAACCTGTCATCAGAAAGAATATGAAAAATAAATTGAGGTATGCTCCCACCTAAGCACTTTTATAGTCTGTGAATTTCAATGCAAATGTTCACCAAGTGCGTCAACTTCATACTGGAGTAAAGTGGATTTCAGAGTACTTAACTTTAGCTTGATTGTGCCTTTGAAGTTTGGGAAATATGTATGCACCAAGTGCAAAGGCTATCAAATTGATTCGATAACCACATCAATGTGTTTGTTTAACAACTGAGTTTTGAAATTCAAAATACTTGCTGTTGAAATCAGGAAGTAGGGTTATAAACAATGTTATTCAATGGACAAGCCAAGAATTTATGTTGGCAAGATTTTTAATGGTAAAGAATATGAACACTTTTTGGTTTACTACAATTAAATGCTATTATCTAATAAATTTCCCTGGGGTTACACATTTGATTTGTGATGATCAATGCTGTTGTTTATTTTTACATGGTGATTAATGACTATAAATCAAAAACATTTTTAAGAATTGTTTTAGAAGTCCCGTGAACATGGTCATTCCATTAACTGTTAAGTAAAGAAAGATATTCATGTCATACGCCATATTCTTCCTATCATCAGCAAAATCCTATAAAAGCAGGCATGGAGAACTTACAGTGTTGCTTAAAAGTTTGGGAACCCTTTTGAATTTTCAATATTTCTGCATAAATATGACCTAAAATATGACCTGTTTGCCACACAAATCCTAAAACTAAATAAAGAGAACCCAGTTAAACAAATGAGTTGAAAACATTATCCTTTTCTGTTTATTTATTGAAGAAAATGATCCAATGCTACATATTTGTGTGTGGCAAAAGCACAGTATGTGAACCTTTGCTTTCAGTAACTGATGTGCCCCCCTTGGGCAGCAATAATTGTAACTAAATGTTTCTGGTAACTGTTGATCCGTCGTGCTCATTGGCTTGGAGGAATTTTAGCCCATTCCTCCTTACAGAACAGCTTCAACTCAGGGATATTGGTGGGCTTCCTCACATGAATTGTGTCCTTCTACAACATTTCTATAGGATTCAAGTCAGCATTTTGACTTGGCCATTCCAAAACATTAACTTTCTTCTGGGTTAACCATTCTTTGGTCATATGAGTTGTGTGTTTTGGGTTCTCTTGCTACATGATCTACTTTCTCCTGAGCTTTAGTTCACAGACAAATACCCTGATATTTACCTGTAGAATTTGCTCGTACAATTGAGAATTCATAGTTCCATCAATAATGGCAAGCTGTCCTGATCCAAAAGCAGCAAAGCAGGCCCAAACCATGATACTACCACCACCATGTTTCACAGATGGGATAAGATTCTTATGGAATACATAATGTTTGTCTTTAACGCTTTTTGTTCAAGCCAAAAAGTTCTATTTTGGTCTCATCCATCCACAGAATATTCTTCCAATAGCCTTCTGGCTTATCCATGTGATCTTTCCTAAACTGTAGACAGGTGGAGAGAGTGGCTTTCTCCTTGAAACCCTGCCATGCACACCATTGTTGTTCACTGTTTTTTTGATGGTGGTCTCATGAACACTGACATTCATCAATGCAAGAGAGGCCTTTAGTTTCTTAGATATTGCCCTGGGGTTCTTTGACAACTCCCAAACTATTACATGCCTTGCTCTTGGTGTGATCTTGGTTGGTCAACCACTCCTGGGGAATGTAACAATGGTGTTGAGTTGCCTCCATTTGTATACAATCTGCCTGAGAGTGAACTGGTAGAATCCAAATGCTTTGGAACTAGTTTTGTAACCTTTTCTAGCATGGTGAGCATCAGCATCTGTTTTTCAGAGGTCCTGTGATGGAATGGAATTATGAAGGCCAAGCTCAGGGAGATAAGCATTTTCTTAGCTCACCGGAACCACGTGGGAGGAACAAAAGGATGAGACTGATACCTCCCTGAGGAATTCACACTGTTGTGGCTGGAGGACTTTGGGAACTGAGGTTTTAGTCTGGGAAGATTCTTGCTAGAAGTTGTAGCTAATAAACATAGCTGGACTGAATCTGCATTCAGCATCTGTTTTTCAGAGGTCCTGTGATGGAATGGAATTATGAAGGCCAAGCTCAGGGAGATAAGCATTTTCTTAGCTCACCGGAACCACGTGGGAGGAACAAAAGGATGAGACTGATACCTCCCTGAGGAATTCACACTGTTGTGGCTGGAGGACTTTGGGAACTGAGGTTTTAGTCTGGGAAGATTCTTGCTAGAAGTTGTAGCTAATAAACATAGCTGGACTGAATCTGCATGGTCTCTTGGAGTTCTTTGGGCTAGGCCTGACAGGTCCTCAGAAATCGCCTTTGTTCAAGCATGACACACTTCCACATACCTGTGTTGTGAAGATCCAACTTTGATAGTGAATACTGAATTCTTCAGTATTCTGTTCTTTAAATAAGGCAGGGCCTCCCACACTCACACCTGATTGTCATCCCATTGATTGAAACACCTGACTCTCCCCTTCAAATGAATTGATCATCCTAGAGGTTCACATACTTTTGCCACACAGAAATATGTAGCTTTGGATCATTTTCTTCAATAAATAGATGAACAGATATAATGTTTTCAATTCATTTGTTTAATTGGGTTCTCTTTAGTGTGGAGAATAGATCACATTTTAGGTCATATTTATGCAGAAGTACTGAAAATTCAAAAGGGTTCACAAACTTTAAGGCACCACTGAAGGTTCTCCAACCCCTTTTTTCCAGCACTGCACAACTTATCAAATTCATGCCATCTAGACCAGTGACTTTTAGTTGTTTGAAGGTAAATTAGGGCATAAAATAGATGTACTAAGCTGCTGATTAGCTGAATCCACCTATTTTAATGTATTCTTCCCCACATCTTTTGTTGGCAACCTTCTGTTATCACTGGGTTCCTGACAGCCCTTGGCCACCCCCAAAATATGGCAAAGAGAGAAAGGAGTTGCCCACAGCCTAAAAATGTTTGCTGTTTCTATGATAATAAAATCATTAGTTCGATGCTGTGCATACAGCCATTGTTTTGGGATGTAAAGGTGTGCAACTGAAATGGGGTAGTATCAAGTATTGGGTTGTATTCTGCAAATAATTAAAGCTTTTATATGTGTGCATAGATGTATATCTGTGTACGTAGACACTGAATATATGTGTATATATACAGAGTTCCTATCTCATTTATTATCACAATATATCTTGTGAGGAAGTGATGGATGGCAGTTCAGAATTTATCTTAGAGAATGGACATGACTGGATTTGAGAGCTTTAGTTGTGACAGCTCACTGTTACATCTTTACATCTGTCCATCCCCATCTTCAGGTGCCTCAATGACTTTAATATACCAACTTACACCAAGTTTGTCCCCCAAAGTGGGGAGCCAATAACTGCTCAGGCCTATTGTGGCAGGAATCTACAGCCCCCTTTCCTTGCACCATAGCAAGTGGTCTGCTGCAGTTGGCTCATACTGGCTCTCAAAAGCCAATTGTTAAAATTTCAGGAATTTTGTGAGCCGGTTAAGACAGAGCTAAGCCACTATGCCTAGCGCATAGCATGGCAGCAGCAATGGAGCTGGCAGAGCCGGTTCTTAAACATTTACCAGCCCACTATTGACCGTAGCTCTTTACAGGCCAAGGGTTTCATCCCTGATATCTCCAGGTAGGGCTGGGGAAATTGCCTGCCTGCAATTTTCCAGAGAACCCTGAGGGTTTGGCTTAAAATAAGGCAGCTTTTCATGTTTTCTCTGATCCCAGCCAAGAGTGAAAAGGAATCCCCCTGGGACTGCAAAGGCACAGTACTGGCTCAGCACCTTATCCCAGCTACAGGCTTAGTTAAAGGTTTTCTCACTCTCCTTCTCCAGAGCCATTTTACAGAAACTATGATGGACAGTAAGTATGCTAAATTTCTCTTGAAATCAAGACTAATTTGTTTGGAAAACTAATGTGGCCAGGCGTTGACAAAAATAGGTTATTCTGTGAATGAGCCGCTGCCGCTTGGGAAGATGACATGCTGGGATTTTGAGACAGGATACTTGACATTTCCTAAGCTGATTCTTCAGAGCGTACACAGAGCAGAAACAGGTCATTGCAGGGAAAGGCTGACAGTGACAAAGTGTCTGTAAACACTTCAGGAATAGGACAGCTCAGGGAGCTTTTTGCCACCTAAAATAGGTTTGTGCAAGCTCCGTGAGTGGAGGAAGATGTGAGGCCGCCGTTCTGTCATTATACATCCAAGGAGTGGTTAAGCAGTAAAACCTAACAACCAAAGCAGCCAATCTGATTTGGCCCACACAGACCGTTAAGCCACTGTGTGGTTGGTTTGCTTTTGGGCGCTGTGTATTTATTTATTCATTGAAGCCACTTGTATGGCTGCCCAACTCACAAAATGACAATAAGCATAAAGGAACCACAGCAACACAATGTAACACATCACAAGCCAAAAACACAGTATATTCAAAAATCTAAACCAGTTTTCTAAATAGGCTCATCCAATATCCTAACCCGGTGCTCAGAGGAAAAAAAAGTTTTAAAGTCTTATGGAAGGTCAACAGGGTTGGGGCCATCTGAATCTCTGTGGAAATGCTGTTCCAATGGGTCGGTGTTGTGATAGAGAAGGCACACCTCCTCCTGGGTTCGATTGTTTCATGGAGGGGACTCAAAGCAAGTTCAGTGTCTTGGATCTCATGAGATGAGCAGACATAATCAGACATTATTATTTGTCACACAAATAATCCAGCCCTGTACCAAGACGGTGATAAGAAGCACCTTGAATTGCACCTGAAAGCCTAAAGTAAGTAGTGCAACTCTGAAAGCCATATTGCCTGGGTGTACAATTGGAAGGTGTTCAAGGCATAAGTGACTGTGAATGGGGTGATCTCACAATTGGCACACAAGATGGAGTTGTGTAAAGATCCTCTTGACTATGGCTGTGACTTGCTTTTCAACCAGAAGCCACGAGACCAAGAGGATCACCAAATTGCGCATCAATTCTGTCAGGGAGAATGTTGCCCCGTCCAGAGCTAAAGGCAGAAAGTCTCCAAATTGGATGGATCCTAATACCCACAGCCACTCAGTCTTGCTTGGAATGAACCAAATACAACATTTTCTACCCTTGGACACACCACAGGCTTCTTAACCTTCCCCTCAAAAGCTCCTTGTGCCTTCATCCTTTCTACCATTCCTCCAAATGGTCTTTCATTCCACAGATGTGATCATTTCTTGAGGATGTTTCATTTGGGCTTGGTAGTAAAATTGAAGCCATGCTATGGCTACTGAGCATGCCCAATTAAAGCTGGCAAAGAGGTGGAGCACATAGGAGCCTGATGCTACCTAATGCCACAGCAGCATAGCACACTTCTATTACTATAGCTATGGATGCTCAGTCGTTTGCAAATAGAGGGGTGTGTGTGGGGGGGGGTATGTTGTGGGATTTTTCCATTATTAATAT